AAGATGGCTGTGTAGAAGATACATTTGCAAAAAGTATCTGTTCTCTGTACTATTTATAAGCACTTAGAAGTCGAAAGGGGAAAATATCTCATTCACATTAACAACTGAAAGTGCCAAATATTTAGAAAACAATATAATAAAAAAGGCATTGAATCATATGAAGAACACTATAAAATTTTAGTGAAATGTACAAAATAGAATCTGAACAAAGGAAAACTACATACACCCTGAGATTTAAAATGTAATATTATAAAAGGTTAGTTTTCCAAAAATTATTATGTATATTGACTGTATGATTATGTATGTTGTAATCCCAATTCAAGTCTCAACAGACTTTTGGTGAAAATTGATTAAAATACATTAAAAATTTCATGAAAGAATAAATTGGAATAGGTTTATGAGACAGAACATACAAATGTGGCAAAACATTGACAGTGAGTGGTTAGATAGGAAAGATACATGTGAGCTTATGATAATATTCTACAACTTTTCTGTAAGTTTAAATGACTTTTTTTTCCCTTTTCTTATGAGAAGGAGTCTCGCTTTTTTGCCCAGTACAATGGCAGGATCTCGCCTTACTTGTGGGGAAAAGGAAGAGAGATCAGCCTGTTACTGTGTCTATATAGAAAGAAGTAGACATAAGAGACTCCATTTTGTTCTGTATTTGAGATGCTGTTAATCTGTGACCCTACCCCCAACCTTGTCCTTGCAAGAGACATGTGTTGCGGTGACTCAAGGTTTAATGGATTTTGGGCTGTGCAGGATGTGTCTTTGTTAAACAAATGCCTGAAGGTAGCTTGCTGGTTAAAAGTTATCACCATTCTCTTAATCTCAACTACCCAGGCCAAAGGTCGCAGGGACCTCTGCCTAGGAAAGCTAGGTATTGTCCAAGGTTTATCCCCATGTGATAGGATGAAACAATGTTGCTAAAAGGTTTATCTCAAGGCACAGGATTTTCCTTTGAACTTATTCATATCACAGAGGTTTTTGTTCTTATGTCTTACTGCTAATTTCCTCCCTAAAAATGATCCTATTGTCCTGCCACTCCCCTGTCTTTAAGATGGTAAAGATAATTATCAATAAATACTAAGGGAACTCAGAGACCGGGGCCGGCGTGGGTCCTCTGTAAGCTGAGCGCCGGTCCCCTGGGCCCCCGCTTTTCTTTACTTTGTCTCTGTGTCTTATTTCTTTTCTCAAGTCTCTCGTTCCACCTTACGAGAAACACCCACAGGTGTGGAGGGGCAGGCCACCCCTTCACTTACTGCAACCTCTGCTTCCTGGTTCAAGCGATTCCCCTGCCCGAGTAGCTGGGATTACAGGCATGTGCCACCACGCCTGGCTGATTTTCCTAGTTTTAGTAGACACAGGGTTTCGCCATGTTTGTCAGGCTAGTCTCAAACTCCTGACCTCAGGTGATCCACCTACCTTGGCCTCCCAAATTACTTTTGAAAATAAAAAGTTTAATTAATCTTTTCTTAAAAAGAGGATAACAAGGAAGACTTGTTATATCAGACAGCAGAACGTAGCAAAAAGCTGCCGCAATGAAATCAATAAGGTATTTGTGTCAGAATAGACAAATATGACAAGTTGAAGAGAAGACGAAACCCAGACAGAATTGCAGATGGATTAAAAATTTAAAATGAATAGCAAAACAATATGTATTTACATAAATACAACAATGGATAAAAATATGGACTAAGATACGGTAGATTTTTTTCCCTTGTTTGTTTTTTAAATTTTGGAGGGTACATCATAGTGTATATTTATGGAGTACATAAGTTGTTTTGATACAGGCATGCAGCGTGAAATAAACACATTATGGGGAATGGGGTGGTAGATTGTTAATATGAGTTGCCAGGATGATGTTTGGTAGGGAAGAAATGAGGAGGAAGAAAGGGAAGCCACTCCTAAAAGGAAAGGAAAAACTACCATGTTAACAAAAAATACAATGTAGGATTCTATCAAAGGTGTTGATGTAAAATTATGTAAATATATGTTTATTTAAAAATAAACATTTTATAAATTAAAAATGAAAAATCAATTAAAATTTGCATAGAAATTTTGTTAGCTTCTTGGTAATTACATGTGTATTGGTTTTTTTTTTTTGCTAATATTCAGTTAAAAAGGTAAAATTTAGTATCTTTTAAAATCATTTTTGTGTTATAATTTATATTTCCATGATTGCATTTTTTGGTTGATACTATCCCCAATTCACACAAATGAATCTATGGTTCAGTCAAGTATAAAAGCAGTGATATAAATAGTAATGCAAATATAGCAACCCAAAATAAGCCCATATAATTGTAAGCAGGCCTTTCCTGTGGGATATAGAATGTGAATCTATAATGCTAAGTAACTTTGTAGGGACTTTTGGACAAGCAGCTGAAAAAGAAAAATGCCAATAAAAATCACTCCCTCTCTAAATCTTAATTGCTTTAATTAACTCTTTAATTTGGTTAAACATTTGCATGAAATTTGGGTTTCAAGATCTAGCATCATTGTCTATCTAGTGATAATTTTCCTGAATTATGAGAGAAAGTAGAACAAGATGAGGATATAAATGTATTTCAAAATAGAGACAGGGTCTTGCTCTATTGCCCAGGCTAGAGTGAGTGGCACAATCAAAGCCCACTGCATTCTTGAACTCCTGGGCTCAAGCAATCCTCCCACCTCAGTAGCTAGGAGTATAGGCATGTGCCACTCCTGAGTAGCTAGGGCTATAGGCACGTGCCACTATGCCTGGCTAATTTTTATATTTTTGTAGTGACAGAGTCTTGCTATGTTGCCCAGGCTGGTCTCCAACTCCTGGCCTCAAGTGATCCTCCTGCCTCAGCCTCCCAAAGTGTGGGCAGTATAGGCATGAGCCACTGCAGGCACAAGGTGAGGATATATTTTTTTTTTTTTTTTTTTTTTTGAGACGGAGTCTCGCTCTG